AAAACAATATCACTTGCATTGCACCATATTTTTCTCAAGATTTATAGGTCTTCTTTGGCAACTGCCATGGTTACCACGACAGCGAGTTTATCAAAACCTTTAGGTACCAATACCGAACTCATTACATGTTTAATTTTCAATCAATCGATTACAGAAATTCTTTCCTAAGAAATATAGTTCGTTTTTGTTTCGCTTAGATAATTAAATCTAAATAAAAAATTCAGATTTCAAGAACACACACAGACAACGAAATACAAAAACAAAACAACCTGCTGCCAACAGTTAACGATTCCAATGAATGAATATTTATTAATTTCCGTCCAACTCTGCCTCTGTGGGCGCTAAAGGCAACATGTGAGACAAAAGCAAAAATCACAGGCTGGCTAGCTTAGCTGTTGTCCACTTAATTCAGCAAACTCGCCAATAATGAATGTTTGAATTGTGAAATGGAAGAATGTGTAAAATAAGTGCACACTTGCATTGTCGACTCACGACACTCTGATTGCAATGGTGAAGCCGGTGATGGTGGCAGTGGGTTACTAGTCTCAGTCCCAGGAAACATGTTTCACCCGGCCGAGATGTGTCGTCAATGGGGAAATGTTGCATAAAAATCACTAACCATGAAATAAAGAAATGAATAATAATAACAACAAAAAGTTTTTTTATTGTTATGTTGTTTTGTGTGTGTGCGTGTATGTGTCTGTCTATCAGACAACCTGTCGATTTGTTTGTTTGGATTGTGTTATGCATTGCAATACGAGTTGAAGAACACATGCATTGTAATCAATAACAAGTTTTGTGCAACAAACTGATATCCGAACAATGTGAATTGATGGGAAGTTATTCAATTATCAACACCGTGCACAGTGGAAACTCTGTATGTTGAATCTTGATGGTCACGGAATTCATATCTGGAAACATGAAGGAGGTCTTTTATCTACAGAAAACCTAAAGTTGATCTTTTGTCTATACCATAACAATTTAGGGTTTTATGTATACAAAAAACCTAAATACGACCTGTAGAATGCCTCCTACCTATGCCTGTAAAGGTCGTCTGTCTACCGAAGGGCTCTAGAGGAGAACTGTAGACGGTATCTACAAAATATAATCTGTTTTTCTTTCTAAAGAAGACATATATAACGACTGTCCATGAAAGAAGGTCCCCTATCCATAGGAGTTCTGTAGAAAGCCTTCTCCATTTAAAAGAGGTATGGAAGAAATGTTGAAGATCTTATATATAGAAAACAGAAAATCTTCTATAAATAGAGGATTTCTACATATCCTCTCTATCCACCCATCCATAGAAGTCATGTAGAAATTTTTCCATAAATATTGTTCTGGCTATGAAATAATTGTATAAGATTTTCCGCTTATTAAAGACTTGTAGAGGGCCACGTAAGAAGTCTTCTGCTCACGGAAAACTAGGGTCGAAAATTTTCACAAAAAGTTTCTTTTGAAAGACCTATAGACTCTGTTTGGTTCGCGGATAAACGTGGATTTTTTAAATATATTTTTGCAAGGACCGACAGACCTCAAAACATGGGTTTTAAAATATATTTTTTCAAGGACCAACAGACCTCTAAACGTGGAATTTTTAAATATGTTTTTGCAAGGACCAACAGACCACCAAACGTGGAATTTTTAAATATATTTTTGCAAGGACCAACAGACCTCAAAACATGGGTTTTAAAATATATTTTTTCAAGGACCAACAGACCTCTAAACGTGGATTTTAAAATATATTTTTTCAAGGACCCACAGACCTCTACACATGGATTTTTTAAATATATTTTTGCAAGGACCAAAAGACCACCAAACGTGGATTTTTTAAATATATTTTTGCAAGGTCCAACAGATAACCAAACGTGGATTTTTTTAATATATTTTTTCAAGAACCAACCTCTAAACGTGGATTTTAAAATATATTTTTTGAAGGACCAACAGATTTAAAATAGATTTTAAAATATATTTTTTGAAGGAACAATAGATTTAAAATGGATTTTAAAATATATTTTTAAGGACCAACAGACCTCTAAACGTGGATTTTAAAATATATTTTTTTAAGGACTAAAAGACAACAAAGATTGATTTTTTTCACCTTTTTTTTAAGGACCAAAAAAACAGTAAAGATCGATTTTCTAAATATATTTTTTCAAGGACCAACAGTGAGGTCGTTTAGAAATCTTCTCCTATGGAGAGATGGTGGAAAGTCTTATTACTAGAAAAAGTCCTGTGGAGGAAATTCTGTCTTTGGATGGCCGAAACAAAGTCTTCTGGTTGTGAAAGCCATGAAGAAGAGGTCATTTGTCTTCTGACCTAGAGGTTGTTTGTCTTCTGACTCATAGGTCAGCCATTTTGTCTCTGGAAAACAAGCAAAGGGAAAAGTTTCTGCAATAGAGTTGTAAAAGATATTGTCTTTATTTAAAGCTGTAGAAAGAATTTTAATCGATGAAGGTCGAAATATATTCTATCTTCAGAATACATTTATGAGGGCTTCAGTCAATCGAAAAATTTCTGAAGACATTTTATTCTACTTCCATTTTTTCTTTTCCAATCATTTGAAAAATCTTGGATATTTATACGGTCGAGAAAAAGTTATATGCGTCAGGATCTATAGGCTGTAGAATATCATACAAAGTCCTTTAGAAGATGTTTTTTTCTTTGGAATATCAATGCCTATATCAGACTTGAAAAATATGTTATGTATAAAAACCAGTATAAGGTCTCATATTTTGAAAAGAGCACCAGAAGCTCTTCTCTATGCAGAGGCCCGGTGAGAGATCAGGTAGAAAATAAAAAAAGGCTCGGAATATGGAAAACGATAAAAGAAAACGGTTCTGTCTTTTTTAGAAGTCCTGTCCACACCAGACCTGTGGAAAATCGTATAAATATGGAATAGCTTTAAAATTCTTTTTTCCGATGATTTATTTATCTTCCACGTTCACTATAGAAGATCTTCTGTCGTTCGGTTAAAGGGAGATCTAAAGAACCCTCAATGTTCACATAAAACCCCAAGGTTTATGAAGTACCTTAAGAAGGGGTTTTGTCTCCGTAGAACTGGCAAAGGGCAAACTTTCTGCAATCGAGTAGAAGATATTCTCTTTATTTAATGCTGTAGGAAGTCTTTAAAGCAAACATGTAAAAAAATAGTAAGTCCTGACGGTTCGAACTTTTAAAACCCTTACCATTTGGAAGGAATTTGGAAATTAAAAAATACGTTGAAAAATATTGTTAGGTATAAATCATAAAAAATGCCGAACATAGGTAGTTGCCGTTATATTGGGGTCCTTTCGAATACGTGTACTTGCACCGCAATATTCAAATACAAAACTTAAAAGAATTCCGGTGAATAAATATAATCGCTAAAATTATCAAAATACCTTTAATAAAGTCGCTTTTTTCGTCGAAATACCGAATCTAGGGAGGTACTGTTATATATACCAAAATGTGAACCCATTTTCAATACCAAAATTCCAGCAGAACAATCACATATCTGAGTAAAATTTTATCAACCAAATTTATTTTATTCGGAAGCTAGAGTGATTTTCACAGAAAGGCGGACAGCTAGACGGATGGACATCGCTAAGTTGGCATAGAATTTTATGCTGATAAAGAATATAAAAAATTGTGGGGTCTAAAATGTATATTTCGATGTATTGCAAACGTAATGACAAACTTAATATAACCTCCATACTATGGTGGAGGATAAAAAAGGCACACAGAAGATGATTCATCTCCAAAGAATTTCGGAGAGTTTTCAGTTAATCGAAAATTTTCTAAAAAATTTGTTTATTTAGAAGTCATCTGAAAGGTCAAATTAAGGACTTTTTCGATAACTACCTTTCTATGAAATTTAAAGCAAATTTTAAAAATATATTTCCAATTTCCAACTTGTTAATCATATCAAAAAATTAAATCGACAACCATTCTTAGTGACTAATTCCGTCGACTTGAGTTGATTGCCATTTTGATTGAGTTTTACGCTCACACATGGTTAATGTGACACTTGTTGAAATCGAACATGTTGGTGCCTTGATATCTATCACAATGGCGCATGTAATGGCAGAGCAAAAAAAAAAAAAAAAAAACACCACAACAACGAAAAAAACAAAACACAAAAACCAAAATAATTGCCAATTACTACAACAAATTGAATTATGGTGTCAAGTTCATATCAAATCAAATGAAATTAAATATTGAAATTGAAATGTGTAATTAATTGTTGGGCTAAAAAAACACAAATGTTAAACGACATAACTAAAATAACAACAATTTAATATCAAATATGAAACAATGAATCTATCCAGTGTAAGTTCGCGACAGCCAAAGATAATTGAATTTTAATTCTAAGCCTTTGGAGTGGAACTAATGAGACAACAATGCTGTGAAGCCCACATAAGGCAGAAAACAAAAGACTTAAGACACAAACCTGAGCACGATAATCTTCGTGAGCAACGGCTTAAGCGGGTATTTATTCTTGTTTTTTTTTTTTCAAATTTCTTTATGCCAGAGCTGTTTGAAACACCCTCAACAATTTACGTTGCATTTGGATGCATTATTTTAAGTGATATGTTCAAAATGTCACTAAACTAAATGAATTATATGTCAAATTTATAAAATTGTCACATACATCATTGTTTGTTGGCTGGTGTTGCTTGCCTGACTGCCTCCCTGCCTGAGCCACAAAAGGTGTGAAGTAATAATTTTCGTTTAAATAATAAACAAATTATTTACTGGTCTGTTTGTCACAATGACAATCACGACACTGACAAAAGACCCAATTCGCAAAACAAATGCAACCAAATCCTCCAGCAATTCACCAGAGTTGAATGTTCGTTGCGCCGTCATGTTTGCTCGGCTACTGCTGCAAAATCATGATTTTGAATTTTTTAGAATGTAAAATGAGCAGTTTTTTGTTTGTTTCTTCAAATTGTATTTGAATATGTTAATGTAACGATACTTATGACTTATTTTTTGGTTTGGTTTTCGTTTTTTTACAGCTTACAGGAATCAGTTACCTGCTAGTCACTTGCTTAGCCACCATAAGCACAGCGATACGAGTGGATTGGAATACAAACACTGGTCCCATTATACCACCAACACCTCGCACCACAATCAGACCAATACCGCCATTCCGGGAGCCAGCGCCCGTCTGGGAGGATCTTAGCAATGATATACCAAATCCAAATCCATATGTGTGAGTATGAAATTAAATTATTTTAAAATCGAGGTGTATGCATAATTCGATCCGATGGACTAGGAACATTGAATGGCTAAAATCTATTATTTATAAGGACGAGAAAAAAATTCATGTGAAAAATCTAGCCGAAGAAATGGTCCAATAGCGTCTTTGAACGTGGCCTTTATTTCTTGAAAATATTTAAAATGTTGGAAATCTCATCGAAGGTCTCTTCGGAACAAGTCCTTTCCAGGTCATTTGGAGTCGATCTAGCGATTTCCGTCAATTTATTCTGTTGACTGGCTGGTGCATACGATAACTCTCGAAGGGAGCATCCGATTCGGTCCAAACTTGATACGTCGTAATATTATAATCAAACTTAGATCGATTTCGGAGATGGGCAATATCAGTCCACAAACCACCTCCCCCACAAAACGTCAAAATTTATAAAAAATATTTTCCTGCACAGAAAGAGAAAAGATATTCCGATTTTGCTCCAACTTTGAAAATCGTCATATTTGCATCAGTGCTAGGTCAACTTTAACCCACAAAGGGTTAAAGTTTTGAATAATTATAACCCTTATAAAATGTGATGTAAGAGTCCGATTGTCTTCAAATTACACACACCCCATTATTTCTACTAACACAAGATCTGCTGTGAAGATGGAATATATCGGTTCACTCCTTCTGGTACCTCCCCCACAAAGTGGTCAACATTTTTAATATCCACGAAGCTCATAAAAAAACCTCGAAATTAACATCCGATATTATAAAATTCGAAATAACTATCCGGTTCTCTCCAAATTTCACACACTCCATTACTTCTACAAAGACAAGATCTGCTGCGAACATGGGATATATTGAACGACTCCTTCTGGTACTTCCCCCACAAAGGGTAAATATTTTGAATACCCATGAAGCTCATGAAAGGCGGAATTAACATCCGATTAAATTCAGACTTGACTCATCTCAATATTTCCATCAACACAAGATCTGTTACAAATATGGTAGAGATCGGTCCATTCCTTCTTTTATCTCCCCCAAAAAGTTTGAATACGCATGATGTTCGTAAAACGCGAAATTTACATTCGATTCCATTCAGACTTTGTACATCTCAATATGTCCATCAACACAAGATCTGTTGTAAAAATGGTAGAGATTGGACCATTTCTTCTGGTACTTCCCCCAAGCATCCGTTTCTCTCAATATTTCACTCATCCCATCACTTTTATTATCTCGAATTCTGCTGTGAAGATACGATAATCGGTCCACTACTTTTGGTACTTCCTCCCACAAAGGCTTCAAATTTTAAATATCCATGAAAGCGCGAAATTATCTTCCGATTTCATTCAGACTTGGTACATCTCAATATTTCTATCAACACAAGATCTGTTATAAAGATGGTAGCGATCGGACAATTCCTTCTGGTACCTACCCCACAAAATTTTAAAATTTTGAATATCCATGAAGCTAATAAAAAATAGTGGTAGAGATCGGACCATTATTTCTGGTACCTCCTCCAAAAAAGGGGTCAAAGTTCTGAATAACCAAAACGATTATCAAATTCGAAATAACTATCCGATTCTACTAAAACAAGATCTGCTGTGAAGATAGGATATATCGGCACATTTCTTCTCGTACCTCCCCCCATAGATCGATTTTGAAAAACAAAATGCTCAAAGAAAGCCGAATAAGCCTCCAACTCTCTTATGAAGATGATATATATCTTCGAACCCCTTCTGGGTCCTCTGCTACAAAGGGTCATGATTTTCAATTCTTTTATTTGTCATTACAAGCGAAACAAGTCGGCGATTATTTACAACTTCCTACATCTACATTTTTCTCTTCACCAAAAACCTGAGATGAATATGGAATTTATAATTTCGCATAAAATTGATTATAAAAAATTCGATTTTCTTGTATTTTTGCCCATAACAATATTTTGAGCTGTTTTAGAAGAAGTACGAAAATGGAATCCTACGGTCGACTATATCTGGGACAAAAATTTTCTACAAAATTATCAAATATCTCATATAAAGTGAAGGAAAAAGTCGATATAGTCCAAACCTGTCACCTCGCAATTTTTATATCATATTTATTTATGTCCGATACGAAATTGACAATTTTGGACCATTCCTTCGGAACACACTCCATAGAGGGTAAACGATTTGAATAACCATAACAGAGGTCAAATATATGTTTAAATAATCGAACTTCCCTTTGTAATTCGAAACAATTTATTTGTTATTTGAGAATTTTATTTGAGATTCGTAAAATTCCACTTGAAATTCGAATTAATCCATTTATAATTCAAATTATTCCATTTGAAATTCGAATTATTCCATTTGAAATTCGAATTATTCCATTTGTAATTCGACTCATTTATTTACAATTCTCAAATAACAGAACAATGTGGCTTGTTTGTTCGGGATACCGTAGTATTTTGTTGTTGCAAAATGGTCAGGCTTTATCCCTTTATTGTTGTTTTTATAAAAACAACGTTTGTTTATTAGTGGAGAACGATGGTAATGTTTACCAGGGGGTAAGGCAGGGAATACCTAGGTTTCGGAAAGAGCCACCAGTCCTCATCAGTTCCCTTGCTTTTTGTCTCAAAAAACAATTAAAGTGTTTCCAATTACAAATGAAATTCTCAAATTTTGCGAATAAATTCTCCAATTACTATAAATATATTGCGTATTGCAAAGGGATTTTTCTCGAATTTCGAATAAAATGATTCGAATTAAATCTGAAAAATGTGTATGAACATATAATTCATCTACCAATTTATAACTTCATTCCCTTTCTTTTCTTCCTTTTTTTTTTTGTTTCACTTTGTTTTTTTTTTTTTTTTTTGGTTTTTCCAGTTATGTATTACCGCCACCCTCACGACCCAAACAAAGGCTCAACACCAATGTCAATTACGATACAAATCCCAACAAATACGGAACCTTGATCAGGCCATCGCTACAAACCACCAACTACTATCAGCAGCAGAGCAATACCCCACAACAAGTTGCCGGGCTGGCGCCACAATACATTCCCAATGTGGGTACACGTTATGTGGCGGTGGTGCCCAAAACCTCTGGAGTGACAGGAACTACGAGCAGCACAGCAGCGAATGTACTTTCTCCCAACGACAATGAAAACAACTACAAATTCCAGGGCAAATACAATGCCAAGACGAAGAAATACAAGGTCTATGAGAAAGTCAAATATGTGCCAATTAATTATGTAAGAGTCTACAATTATCGTTATTTTTAAGTTAAGAAAATTGCAACCTTATACTGCCTCAGTGATGCTTTTTATCTCTCCTCCCCCACACCTTTTTTTTATACATACTTATATGTGAAATTTAGTATTTTTTTATTATTATTTCTATCACATCTGGCTTTAAAAGTCTGTGGATGTTCTATTTTAAGTTCACTCTTTCGAAAAGCAAACACAAAAAATAAAATGAAAATTTATAAATAATTTTAAATTCTTTATTATTTTTGGTGCTTATTGCAAAATTCGTTTTTATTTTCATTTTCCATTAACTAACCAAAATCATTTGTTTCATAAACCAAAAAAAAAACCAAACATTTTGCATGATTTAACAATTTTTGTCATTTATCTATAGTATACTGAACTAGAGGAAAATGATAGTGTAAGTGAGGCCACATCCAAGCGTAATTTGCCAGCTGAGATTCCCGTTTGGGCTCCTTTTGATGACGAAGATTTGCCAAATGTAGAATACACGGTTAAATTAGAGAATCTCTTGGCAACGGCCGAAAAACTTTCCGGCACGACACCTGTTACCACCACCAGTACCACAAATACATCGATGGCTTCATCGACCCCTTCAACATCTGCGGCTCCTTCCTCTTCTTCGACACCAGCCCCCTCAAAATCCTCATTTAAATTCTACTCGAAACATATTTATCCCAAGGATTCTACGTTGAAACTCAAGGAAAAACTCAATAAGAAAAGTTGAATTCTCCCAGTGAGGAATTGAAATAGCTCTAAGTCCAACACCACCACTACTACTACTTCTACACATGCATACATGCAAAAGTTCCATTTGTTAATAATTTGCAAATTGTTATTAAAACTTTTCCACACAAATATACCTACAAATTTGAATTTGAAGGCCACAAACAGCAACTAATACTATTTCGAAACTATACCGTTCACCTACACACTAATACACACATATGCATACGTGTTTGCCATATTTTCTTTGGTAAATGAAAATTCACAAATTGTACATAGCGAAAGTATTAATCTGTCATTCAAAGAAAACAAAAACCTATTAAATGTCCAATTTGAAAAGCAACTGCTCAAAAGAATTAGAAAACAATAAAAACCTATCATGTTGTTACTTTTTTTATATATATAATTTTACATGTAAATAAATATAATCATATATATTTTATATACAATAAATAAATGAAGGTTTTTTATTTAAAAAGAAAGATTTTATAACACAAAGTAAGTTGTGCCAGAGCTATTGGAAATCATATATGGGTAAATATTTTAGAGACCTTTTTCACGTTATAAAGTTCGGCCGAAAATTATTTACCCTATAATATTCAAACTTCTGGTTCCAAATAGTGATGTAATACATATTAGCGAATTGTAACTCCAATTCAGATAGGATTAATAAATAGAGAAATTCATTGAACAGAAGAAAAAATTAAATCCCAAAAAGGGACCAAAAATTATAAACCTCTAAATAAAAAAAATACATTGAAAAAGTTTGAAACCTTTATCACCTCATTTAAAGCACAGAATATAGGATTAAAATGAAGCAGGCTGGTCTCGAGGAGTACTTTCCGAATATATATGAGCAAAACGAATTTTAGACTTGTGAATTTCCCTAAAACTGGTAAATTTTTATTTCATTTGAAAATCCCAAGTCCGTAATTCTTTCTGCCTATAAGGACCATATATTTGGAAAGTACTTCTCGTGACCTTTAATTTGAGCATAAAATCCGCTTCATTCTTAGTTTCTGTTAAGTGAATTCCTTAATCTATAATTCCACGAAAATGAAGCGATAATTTTTGTAGAAAATTTGACATTTCCTTAGTCCGAAATTGTTTTGCCTATATATCAGGGCTTTAATTGAGGAGCTAAGAGTTTCAAACTTTTTCAACGTATTTTTGTAATTTTTAATTATTGTTTTTATTTAGCGATTTAAAATTTGTTTTTCTTTTTTTTTTTTTGAGATAAATTTATTTTAAAATGCCTTTAATTTTTCTCTTGTTCACAACCTCTCTCTCTACAATAATCCTTTCGGAACCAAGAAATAAATTGGTCCAATATAGGAATTCGACATTGTGAAAAATTTGAGGCGTTCCATTCGGTTTCTCTTACTCTCTCTCTCTCTCTCTCTCTCTCTCTTGTGAGGAAAGTGTAAAATAATAAAAGTGATGCAACACGCTTTGTTATTTCTGTTGTATTTGTTATTAGTAAATTTGAAGTTACAATACTCTGTCTTTAGGATTGTCGCCAAGATGCCAAATTTCATTTCATTATGCTGTTGCACAATAAAAAATCGGACAAGGATATATATGGGAGTTATAATTTAATCTGAAGCGATGGACCGACCAATTTCAATGGGCATCGTCTGGGATGATTTGTGGATATTTCATCTCAATTGGACAATTAGCGCGACCTATATTATTTCTACAAAATAAATTGACAGACTTACGTTCGGTCATGCACAAGACCCACAAAAAAGCAGTCTGGGTTTACCTTTACCTTTTGGATGTTACAAAGTCGCAATACCCTCTACCATTTAAGTTTATTGAAAATTCGGGCAAAGACATTGAAAATATCGCAAATATGGGGAATTTTTGCATGAAAGTTTTACAAAAACCTATACAATTTTTACGAAGAATTGGAAAAAGGGGTCAAAAAAACACATGAGGGCACCTCACCCACAATGGGTTAATATTGTAAAAAATCGTATTTTTGTAAAAAAGTGAAATAATTGCTAATTTTTCCAAACATCGTACAATTTAATGCTTTTATGAACGTAAGCTCTTACGGATATATCGAATAGAATGAACCATGGTACAATGAAGACAAGGTAGGCTATCATTGAAAAAGTTGTGTGGAGATCTGGCAACACTGATATTGAGTAGTTAAGTTTCTATGGTATGAAATTGTCATTCGAAATCTAAGTAGGCATGCAAAGGATTGTATGATTTTGGGTTTTCGAGAAAAAATAAAAAGAATTAAATTGAAAACGATTAAACGTAAAACTGTGTGTGTTTGTGAACCGCGGGTCATTACATTGGCGACGAAGGTAAATATTTAATTGAGCTGGAGGAATGCAATATTAATTGCATCATATTGTAAGGAAATTTCAAATTCCTTTGCATTAATTTGCAGCGGAAAGACATTAAATTGTAAATAGTCATCTGAAAAAAGGAAAGAAGAAATATGTAAGTGCAACATTTAATTGTAGCAAATGGAGAGACATTTAATTGTTTTGCATTTAATTGCAGATAAGGAGAACTTGGGACATTAAATTGTCGGGACATTAAATTGTCAGAACATTAAATTGCAGGACATTAAATTGTCGGGACATTAAATTGTCGTCGGATTGCATTACATTTAATTGTAAAGACGTTGGACGGCGTGAGTCCGAGGTTGTGTAAAGAGATGAGCTCGGTCGGTATATCACCTTTCCTTTGTGATGCCATAGATAAGGCACTTCTGCGAACAGAGTGGGAAAAATGGTATCGTTCATTTTCCATATATTTGGATGCAGAGGAAATAAAAGACACTGCGAAAAAGAGGAACAAACTTCTGTACTTGGGTGGCACACAACTTCAAGAGGTTGTATACAACATTCCCGGAGCACTTGTTGAGTCTGACGATACAACTGGAGGTGTTGATGTGTTCAAAATTCTGGTAGAAAAACTCAACGTATATTTTTCACCAGAAAGAAACTCAACGTTTGAAAGACACCTTTTTCGATCGCTTAAGCCTGAAGGAGGTGAGTGTCTGAACAAATTTCTTGTTAGACTACGGAACCAGGCCGCAAAATGTCATTTCGGTGAGACAAAACATGAGATACTGGGTATAAATATAAAAGACAAGCTAATTGATAATTGGGCCCCAAATGATTTAAAGAAACGACTCCTAGAAAAAGAATATACACTCACAGAAACCATCGAAATGTGTCATGCCCATGAACAGATAAATAACCAGACAGAAACAATGAAATTGGGCAATGTATCTATCGATATTAACAAGATTGAATCAAAGAATCAACAGATTGAATGTGGCAGATGTGGTCGGCAGGGGCATGAAGGTACAAGTATTGACTGTCCTGCTAAAAATTCAAAATGCAACAAATGCGGGCTTATTGGACATTTTGCTCGCAAATGCAAGTCGAAAGGTTTGAAACGCAAGCAGCCGGGGTTTGGATATACAGATGCGAAAAAGCGGAAATATTCAAACATTCAATTTGTCTCAAGTGACGGTGTGAAAGAAGTTGGATCTATGGAAAATAAGTGGAAAGAACACAATTGTTTCCAAATTGCAGAGAAGTTTAACGGGCACATGGACGAAATGATAGAGTGCTATATAGGGGGTCGGAAGATTCACATGCTGATTGACTCTGGATCACATCATAATCTGTTGAGTGAAGTGGATTGGGAATGCCTCGTTAATGGAAACGCCACGGTTTGGAATATACGGACAAAATCTGAGAATCAGTTTCGTGCGTATGCTGGAAACAATTTACTCAAGGTGAAAGCTGTCTTCGAAGCGGTAATTGGCCTTGATCCAGTTTCAAATTTGATCTCCTCATTTTATGTAATTGAGAACGGCCGTCAATCCCTGCTGGGTCGAGTTACTGCTATCAAATTGGGCGTTTTGAAACTAGGACGAGGGGTAAATCAAATCGAGAACTGTCATGTCTTTCCAAAAATAAGAGGCATTAAAGTTTCGCTGACAATTGACAAGTCTGTCAAACCTGTCCAACAGCCGTTGCGGAGAGTACCATCTGGCTTAGAAGAGAAGGTAGAGAGAAAATTGAATGAAGCTTTACAACAAGATATTATAGAACCCGTGACAGGACCCAGCCCATGGATATCTCCAATAGTAATTGTATTTAAAGGTAACGGGATATCCGATTATGCATCGACATGAGACGTGCGAATATGGCCATATTACGGGAAAATTATCCGCTACCAACATTCGATTCCTTCATGACCAAGCTACAGGGTGCTGAATATTTTTCTAGGTTGGATCTGAAAAATGCATACCACCAGTTGGAGTTAGAGGAAGAGAGTCGCGAGATAACCACCTTTATAACTTCAAAAGGCCTATTCAGATATAAACGATTATTGTTCGGCGTAAACTCTGCACCAGAAATTTTCCAAAGGATTATGGAAAGCATTTTGGCGCCGTGTAACTGCGCTATAAACTATTTGGACGACATTATCGTGTTTGGGAAGACAGAGGCTGAACACGACGGAAATCTTAAAGAGGTGTTGGCAGTTTTAGAAAAGGCGAATGTCATGCTGAACAAGGATAAATGTATTTGGAAAGCAAGAAGGCTACTATTCTTAGGCCACATTTTGTCTGACAAAGGCATAAATCCAGACCCTGAAAAAATTGACACCATCATGAATTTTCGTCCACCAACCAATAAAGAGGAATTAAGGAGTTTCCTGGGTTTAGTCACCTATCTAGGGAAATTCATTCCAGATTTGGCTGATCTTACGGATAAGCTCAGGAATTTAATAAAAAAAGATGTTAAGTTCGACTGGGGCCATCGGGAAGATGAAGCTTTTTTAAAACTTAAACAACAACTGGCCAGGACTCCAACATTATCATATTTCGATCCAGAAAGGCGCACTCGCTTGATAGCTGACGCAAGTCCAGTGGCCCTTGGAGCGGTTTTGCTTCAATTTTGCAACAACATGCCACAAGTCATATCATTTGCGAGCAAAAGTTTATCTGAGACAGAACGTAGATACTCACAAACAGAAAAGGAAAGTTTGGCTTTGGTTTGGAGCGTCGAACGATTCTACTATTATCTGGCCGGCATCGAGTTCGAATTGGTAACAGACCACAAGCCTCTGGAAACAATTTTCAAACCTACATCAAAGCCACCCGCTCGGATAGAGCGATGGGTGTTACGCCTTCAGTCATTTAGATTTAAAATAATTTATCAGGCTGGTAAATATAACATCGCCGACTCCTTATCCAGATTATGCAAAATTGAACATAATACGTCTTTTGATCAACAAACTGAAATCAGTATATGCTCAATAATTGAAGAAACCGTTCCACGAGCAGTGTCAATTCTTGAAATCGTGGAAAAGAACCAGTTAGATCTTGAGCTAATGGAAGCTGTCGAAAGCATCAAAAATAATTCATGGACTTCGGCTACATCCAACCGCTATTTTCCGTTTAGACTTGAG